GTGCATGTGGAGTGTGTGTGTGCTGTGTGTGGTCGTGTGAGTGCATGCGGGGTATTTGTGTGCTGTGTGTGGTCGTGTGAGTGCATGTGGAGTGTGTGTGTGCTGTGTGTGGTCATGTGAGTGCATGTGGAGCGTGTGTGTGCTGTGTGTGGTCGTGTGGGTGCACGTGGATTATTTGTGTGCTGTGTGTGGTTGTGTGTATGCATGTGGAGTGTGTGTGTGCTGTGTGTGCTCGTGTGGGTGCATGTGGAGTGTGTGTGCTGTGTGTGGTCGTGTGAGTGTATGTGGAGTGTGTGTGTGCTGTGTGTGGTCATGTGAGTGCATGTGGAGTGTGTGTGTGCTGTGTGTGGTCGTGTGGGTGCATGTGGAGTGTGTGTGCTGTGTGTCATGTGAGTGCATGTGGAGTGTTTGCATGCTGTGGGTACAGGATACGTGAATGCATGCATGTTGTATGCATGGCTGTGCTGTGTGTTCATGCTGTGGGTTTAGTGTGTGCATGCTGAGTGGTGTATGTGCATGTACGTGGTGTGTGCACGTGACGTGTGTGCATGTGGTGTGAGCACATGCATGTAGTGTCTGTGTGCCTGAAGTGTGTGTGCATGCATGTACTGTGTGTGCATTTGGTGTGTGCACATGCTGTGGATGGCACGGGCCCGGGGAGGAGACATGCAGACAGGCAGGGCAAGCACAGACCCGCGGAGGGTGTGCTCCGGCAGCCTTCTGATTGCTTTTTCCCCAGAATTGGCCTTTGCACCCCCCTCACTGGCCGCCCCACTTCCTGGGACCTGGAGCCCTGGTAGCAGAGGAAAGGCAAAGGTCCCACTGGCCCCCATCCAGAGGGCCAGGATGGGACGGGGGCTTCACAGTCACCCAAATTCTGCTGAAGGTGCCAGGCCCCTGACGGCAGCACAGGCGAGGGGGCTGGGGACACAGTGGGTGAGGAGCTTCCACCAGCCCAGCCCATAATTCATAGATGTGAGTTAAAAGGCCCCCTCCCTCCACACCTTGGTGTTTACAAGACAAAGCTCTTCCTGTGGGCCTGGGAGAGGCTGCTGGCCACACACAAGAGGAAATAAAAATCTCTGTCAGGAAGGGAGTGTCGATTCCCAGAAAACAGGCAAAGCGCAGAGGCCGTCTAAGGACCCTGGCCTCTGTCAACCCACCTCAGCCTCCTCTTTCTACCTGGGTTGCAGTCCCAGAACCCCTCCTGCTCCAGGCAGTTCCAGGAAGATGGAAGTGAGGACCAAGGAGAGGGTGGAGCAGGGTAGGCAAGCTGGGCAAAGACCCCCTGACACCAGGGACCCTGTGTACAGTGGGAGAAAAGACACCAGGGAACCAGCTTTTCCCAACAAAGACTCTGAGTTCAACCAAAGGAGAAAAAGCAGTAACACACCAAAGAAGGGTGCAGGGAAGAAGAAAGTGCCTTCAGACAGTGGGATTTGAGTGTGCCAGGGTCCTGAGACAAGCTTGGAGTACCAGGACCCCCATAAATCAAGATTAGCACCTTGTGCCTACCTGGGTTCCCTGTTCTGTTCCTTGGTCTATGTGCCTGTTTTTATGCCAGTACCATGCTGTTTCAATTACTGGGGCTTTGCAGTGTATTTTGAAGTCAGGTAGTGTGATGTTTCCAGCTTTTTGTTTGTTTGTTTTGTTGTGTTTTGCTGAAGGCTGCTTTGGCCATTTGAGGTCTTTTGTGGTTTTATATGAATTTTAGGATTTTTTTTCTATTTTCTACTTCCGTGAAGAATGTCACTGGTATTTTACATAAGAATGTCATTGGTCATTTTCTATTTCTATTTCTTCTGTTTTCTATTTCTGTGAAGAATGTCACTGGTATTTTGATAGGTACTGCATTGAATCTGTAGATCACTTTATGTAGTATAGAGATTTTAGCAATATCAGCTCTTCCAATCCGTGAACATGG